GCGCGCGCTAGAGAGAGAGAGAGAGAGAGAGAGAGAGATGGAGGGGAGCGTTGGCGGGCGGGTGCGCTGGCAGACGGGAGCCGCACATGTGCGCGAGCACAACCTGGACAGGGATATTTTGTTGCCTCTCTCTCTCTCTCTGTCTCTTTCTCTCTCTCTCTCTCTCTCTCTCTCTCTCTCTCTCTCTCTCTCTCNTGTTACGATCCTGGTCATTCCCAAAGTGCAAATTCTGTCTCTTATACACATCTAGATGTGTATAAGAGACAGCTCTCTCTCTCTCTCTCTCTCTCTCTCTCCTTCCCCCCTTCCTTCCCCCCCTGCCCCCTCTCTTTCTCCCTTGTACTCTTTCTCTCTCTTACAAGGGAAGAGAAGAAAAGAAACGATCTCACCAGCTTCATTATGATTCAATCGTCAGTTATGGCAGCGTCAGCACCTCTCAGTCCACCCTGAAGCAATGGCGATCTAAGTGGTCTGAGGCCTGCGGGAGCCTCCCAAGGCTTTCATGACATTTTCAAGCATGTCACACCTCTTCACTCCACAAAACAGTCTGCATCACTCTTCTTGGCAGTTTCTGAAGGGCAGTGGTACCCTGAAGTGAGGTCCTGAATGGATATGGCCTCAAAACTCTTTTCTTCCTCGTATTGAGGAGGAAGCCTCCTGAAGTGCATGACCAACCGCATTAGGAGAATGAAGCCTCAAAACAGTCCGATGTCACCCGCTTGTAGCTTCCAGGCTTTGGTGGATCTCCTTGAGCTCGGATATGGGGCCCACCCATATTGGAGGGCTATGGGGCTCCAAACCTCTTCTCCCTCTCTCAGCACCTCCTCCTAGGTGGAGCAGCACCTCCCCCTAGGCCAGTGCCAATCGTCCTTAGTCTTCCGCTACTCTACAGATAGCCAAGAAGCCCACTACCTCACTCCGAAGTGTGGTGCTGCATGTCTAAGCGCTCGTGGACAGCTAGAGTGCACAACCAGCAACATACAGACTCTCCAAAGTGTGCACAAGGCATGTAGTTAGCCAGCATGCCTTTCTTGCCCTTTAAAGGCTGACAACTGGATGGGACCCCCCTCCTATGAGCTTGGGAGGCTAAAGAGGTGGAGCAGATGTTGTACCAAAGCCAAAATTGACCTCTACTTTGGGTCAATCCCTGAACCAGCACCTACTTTAGGTCATGCTGTCCGAGGTATAAGTGGTGCCACCAACTTTAGCAACATACCTCGGCCTACTCAAATGGCCTTCACAGTGTTCACGCACTTATGCACTAGTGCGCAAGTGTTTTCTTTTGCGGTTACATCCTGTCCTTAGATCTTGGATTATCAAGGAACGAGATTGGTTTTGAATTTTCCACACCACCCTTTGGGAGCACTCTCCACACCACCCTTTCGAAGAAAAATGTTGTGGAGGAGGTCACGCCCACTGAAAATCAGTAGAGGGCAGCGGTGATTCCTGTAGTGAGACACGCCCACGAAAAAATCTGTGCCCGGGCAGATTTGGTGGACAGCTGTTGGCCACGGCCATGGGCTGCAGTGCGCACAATAACTTGTTTTGGGCCTGCTGATTTTCTGTTTTGTTTTGGGCGTGTTTTTGTTTTGTTCTCTTTTGTTTTGTTTTGGGGTGAAGAGATGAGGGGCTTGAATTGTGGTGGGCGGTTTTGTTTTGTTTCGTTTTGCTTTGTTTCTTTTGGCTTGAAGAGATAAAAGGATTGAATCCCAGTGGGCCGTTTTGTTTTGTTTTGCTTTGTTTTTTTGGGTTGCAGCTAAGAGTTCTTGGGCTTGAATTCCAGACATTTTCTTGGGGCTGCGAACTGTTCTGCTTTTTTTCTTGTTCTGGCAGTTCACATGCTTTGTTTTGTCCATCTTGATTTGTTTTCTCTTTGGGATGATTGTCAGATTGCGCTGTATGTTTGTCGCTTTTTGTGTTTGTTGTTGTCCCCCGACTCACCCCGCTTGCCCTCTTTGTTTCTTGCTTTGCGCTGTTTTCTCCTTTCTGCATCAGCTCACTTGGGCAGCATGTAGCGCTTGTCCGAGCAGTACTTGAGTCGAGGGGCCAGGGCTATTCAAATACAAGTACACACACGGCCCATGTCGATGAATGGTACACACATGCATTAAACTTGCATTTGTCTGCGAAAAGGCCATGAGCTCCATCGTTTTTTTGGTTTCATACACCTTTGAGGGCCCCTGTCAATCTTCTCTGTTTCATTCCAATTTTAAACCGCCAGTACATGGCCCCAACCTTGCGAAATTTCTTCATTGCCGACTCCTAAAATTTCGGAGGGTCGGGGTTACTGGATCACAGTGGATGCTTTTGCCAGCCAGAAAAGGAAAGAAGTGCACCGCTGGTGATTCGGTGAAGCTTAGCGTGCAGTGTAGCCTCATCAGGTCCTGGTGTACTAGGTGAGGTATTGCTAGCAAAGGGGATTTGATTGAGCACCTGAATGCGAAGGGTTTCCTCACAGAGATGCAGCTAGGTAGCAAAGGGGATTGGATTAAGCACCTGAATGTGGATGGGTTTCTCGCACAGATGCAGAAATGCAGATCAATTGCGATTTTCTCCATGTCTTCACTGCAGATTCCTCGTCAAATCCAAATGTCTTTGCTAGTGGGACCTCGCCCCCCAAGGACATTAGGGGTACTTCGCCTTGGGGGGCAAAAAAAAAAAGCACTAAGATAACCCTCGCCATGGGTCTGAGCGGTGCACCCACCAGCTGTTGTTCAACAGATGTACGGGCATAGTCACACTAGCACTTTTCTAAATGTGTCTTTCTGCAACTACGACCCGACTTGGATGCGTCCGACTGTAATCAGGTTTAGAGCTGCGGCAAAAAAAATTGTGGTGCGAGTATGCCCCAAGTGCCATGCCAGATGCAATGCATAGGGCTTCCAACCCATGCCATGTGCCTGAACGATACACCCACCCACATGGACCTGAGTTTAAAAGCCATACGGAACAAGTATGGCTCCTGACGCATTTTAATTTTTAACTTTTAAGTAAATTTGGTTTCTTTTTCTCGGGGGCATGTTCTCCTTGGTTTTCCTTTTTTTGTGGGTGAGAAGCCGGGGAAGAAGGGACACAGTCCAGCCCATATGTACCCTACATTGTGTGAACCAATGCAAGTGGCATCACCCACGCGGGCCACATAGTTACCATCCAGTTCATATAGAACGATCCAACCCACGTAATATCCCGCAGCCAGACCGCCCAGTCCACCTGGTACCTACCATCCCGCAGAGTCTCGCTCATACCACTGAACACTGCCGAGTCCACATACTATCAGTTAGTGGTGCTGCCGTTTGCTCCTTTTTTTGTGTGTGTGCTTACCACTGCGCATTGTTCAGTGGTGACAACAATGCAGGCGGCCCGCATAGCACTACATGCAGCTGGCAGAGCAGTGTGCGTGGCCCACAGAATTGGTTGGTGGCACACAATACGGCGCTCATCCCACATAGTAATATGTGCGCCAGAAAGAATTGACGAAACGGTGTGGGTGGGGTCTAGTGAGAGGGATAACCTGATCGGGGAAAAATGTAAATGAACAAAAAGAACACAAGTGAAAACAAAGGAGGAACACGCTCAGGCGACGTAGTACCGCATAGTACGACATCCTGGAGGCAAAGCAGCGCACTCAGTATCACGGTGTATGAAGCTAAGTTCAAATAGCATCCCATAGTACCACATACCAGCACAATACCGCATACTGCCACGGCCAAATAAAACCACACCCATGCAACCTGCATGCATCGCATAATACCACATACCAGCACATAGTACCGTATAGTACCGCTCCCCAATAAAACCACACCCACCCAACCTGCATAGCACCTGCAAGTACCATAGTACTGCGCCAAAATGAACCCACGTGCACACAACCTACTCAGCACCTTATGGTATCGCATATTACGACATGCTACTATACTTTACCATACAGTAGAAGATAGTACGCTATTAGTACCACATTATGCCCCACCTCACACAAATTGTTGCACATCCACCCGATGTTAATAACAGCACATCCAACCAAGCTAGTAACTAACCCGCACCGGTGAGCACAGCCTGTTGGCGTTGCAATGCCCTGAAATACTTTGAATCGTGGCGTACTTTGAATTGTTGACCTGTTCGGCCACAGTCATCAGCCGTGCTCCGCCTCGACTTGTACTATATAATGATCATAAAGGATTGTCTTGTCGGATTCGACAGAAGATTGAATTGGGTTGGGTACTTACTCAAAAATCTTCGCATGCATGTGGGAACGAATACCGCATCATGTGCTTCCATTATCCTTGGGTGGTTCCCATGCACTGCACTTCTCCACCAGATGAACCAGAAGGTTTACTCTACAGGCACCGTTCATGGGCATGGGCAGAGTAAGTTGTTTCCCAGGAGAAATGATATCCCTCACAGTAAGGAGTATAATGGGGGGGTTATATAAGGCTAGGGGTACTTGATGCTGGCCCAACCATATGGTGCTCCGTTTGATGAATGGTCAGTGCAGTGGAACCACCGACAATACAATCTCAGTACTGCCTCGAGTAAAGATGGGCCGCACCGAGGTCACTTTCTTTATCAGGTCAACCAGCGTCCAAGCATACCGCTACCGATAGATAAGGAGGCCTTTCTTATCTTAAGAGAACGTGGACTGGGCTCTACAGCCCAGTCAACGCAGGTACCTGCCCGGCCGGTATCCCAACAGGGCCTACAGCTTAGTTACCTTGACTGGGCTCCAACTATCGATTTCCTCAGGTGTCGCCTTGACTTATGGCCCGACTGTATTTTCTTTGGAAGCCTTTTCTGAGGACGGACGTGGCCTGGAGCCTCCCATATGGGATAATTATGACTGAAGTAAGTGATTCAGGAATGAGAACCTTGAATGCCATTGACAATCCTTGTGCCCCATCTTGTTTTCCCTTGGCATGGGAGGCGTAGACTCTGGATGCCCTACAGGTGTTCTCATATCCACTTATCTGTGAGGGCTCTGAAGTTCTTTTCTGAATGTGGTGCAGGCAAGGGATGCGATGCGATTGGCAGGACTAGCTCGAGCAATACCCCTGATTGAGAGCAAGGCAATGGTGGGGAGTGGAGGAAGCGTCTGGGCTTTTCAAGAATTCAAAGCGCATATGGCTGCAATTGGAAGAATTGCGGTCAAGCGACAGGCAAATTTGGGAGACTATTTGGACAAAAATGGTGAGCAAGGGATGAAAAAGGTGTTTGATGTCTTGTGATGGAGTGTTGAAATGAAATGCAGTCACGGTAAATGATAGAGGTGCAGCAGAACTAACAAACATGGGCATGACAAATGGGTCAAGGAAATGCACCCCTCCGAAAAGTTGAGGGAAACAACGACATGGATAGGTTGGGACTGGAAAACCTTACAAGGACAAGAAAGGGACTGATCTTGTACTCCTGTAGCGAAGGATAGGTTGGGAGCTAGTCATTCACATGGCTGGAGTAGAGTTGTAGACTCAAAGGGTTACTGATGGGATTTGGGGTGTTACTAGGGCCACTGGAGGGTTAATTGGCAAAGGTTAAAAATTCATGTATGTTGACGGTCTTTAGGTTTTTCTATGAGTTGGCTGTGGTCATGGGCATGATTTGACAATACGAACCCCTGACTGAACACAAGTCTTCCTGATTCTTCCATGTGCTTTGAACATACTTCTGCTCATTGCTCTTGCACTGTCATGGGCATGATTATGAGAATACAAATCCCTGACTGAACAGGAGCTTCCCTGAGTCTTCAATATGCTTCGAACATACTTCTGTTCATTGCTCTTGCACTGCCATAATGACATTTTTTTTACTCTGTTATATTTGCTCCCAAATTCTACTTCATGCCTTCATCAGCATCCCTGATTAACAACTTGGTTGATCAGTAATTGCCCATCCATGTTAAAACACAAATGAAAATGGTGAAACCAGTACTGTGGATCGCCCATTCAAATTGGCCCAAAGTCCAAAAGCTTTTGTATAGGGGAATAATCAAGCAAATCAACATCACACTCTAATATCCAAGTGGGCCTCGGGGTTACACTGCCCGCCGAGTTCCTGGCTTTCTTTGAATGTGGGCCTTTCGATCTTGAAGTGGGCTGCCTGGGTCGCCCTAAACGACGATTTCTAACGGAATGTCGCCCCCGTACGATCTAACATGTGGTTGTTTTTGTTCCTGCTCATTCCGCGACGATCTGGATGATGGAGAGTTAGTTCTTGCTATCGAACGCTGTGTCCTTGAGCGGTGGGACTAAAAATGGTGTTTGCGTTTGTTCTTTCCAGTTCCGGGTCAGTTTTTTCCTTCTTAGTCCGGCCTGTGGAAAACGGCACGTGCGGGACCATCATGGGTGTGTCAGTCGCGGCTCGCAAGTGGAAAACGACCGTGTATTTTTTTTAACTAGCTATGTTCTTCACTCATTATACGGTATTATATACCTCCCACTACCTACCGATGTATGCCAGGAACAACCAGCACCGCTGCCTGCAACAAACTGCTAGCCGGGGCCATCCGCCAGGTGGCCTAAGCCTGTCTATCCACTCTACTCTGTGCAGGGAGTAGTACCTGGGCTCGTAACCCCTAGCGAGGGCTGGCAGGAGCAAGGGTCGGCGAACACCCCAGCTCCTACCAAACCAGCCAGGAGGGGCCAGGCAACTATCTCAGCTGGTGGGGACCAAGCCCGCTGCAGGCGGCTGTAGCTGATTGAACCCACGATCTCCTGAATACCACTTGCATGCTCAACCAGACAAGTCTTTTTGTGGTCAGCTTTGGTCTTTCATTATCTCTTTTTATTGGGGTTACCATAGTGGGATTTCAAACTCATGGACATTTTTGGAGTTTTTTATTACCTCAAGGCAGCTAGGTCGCTGGCCTGGCATCATGGACTTTTGTCTGGTGACGCGTGCGTTTCTTTCCATATAACGGCCTACCTTTCCATCTTCTAGCGCAAGATTAGTTCTCATTTTGCAAATTTGGTGAGTAGTGGAGTGAATTCCAATGTCAAACGTAGAAATACCGCTGGGCCTCGCTCAGTTGGCAGACTTGGCACACCCACGAACCGAGTTCGAATCATGTTCCTGTCAGTTCGACAACAATATCTCCATCGTTGCTGCTCTGCATAATTGTTTCTTATTACGCCACGGACGGTACATACATGCATGAGCTCCATGGCTCGGCTCGAGGTTTTTTGCTTCGTGGCGCGTGTGGTGCTGCTCACACACGCATGCATGCACGCACCCATGAGCACACACACGCATGCACACAAACAAGGTTGATAGAGCTGGGGTTTTGTGGCACAGAGAGAGAGAGAGAGAGAGAGAGAGAGAGAGAGAGAGAGAGAGAGAAAGAGAGAGAGTTGGACAGAAAGTGCACAGGCGTGCACATGACAGCAGCAATGCGAACTAGACATGAGAGGAAGGGTCCAAGTGGCCCGTGGGGCATGGCTGGAGTACTTTCCCATTTATTATCAGGATTTTTGTGTTTGTAGGTTGTTTGTATGTTCCTTTTGCAGTGGCATCATTTGTTTTTTTCGTTTGTCATTTATTTTACTGCTATTGCAAAGTGAGTGAGTGCACACACAAGACAGGGAGGGAGGGGTTGGGTTTTGAAGAGGGGGGGGGGGGGGGGGGGGGGGG